CAAAAGTATGAAATACCATTCCTCTACACTCTCAATAATAAATAGCATCAATCTTTGATTTTTTTAAGTTTTACGAATATAATAGAAAAAACTCAACCCTGCTGTTTTATTAGAATTTCCCATATTTCTAGTGAGTTTGAATATTTTTTATTAGCCATTTAATTTCTTCTGTCATTGGCCTATCCATATCCTTTGCCCATTATATTAGATTTATTAATATTTTCTTATTGATATATAAATCTTTATAATACTTTTGGACATTGTCATTTATTAGCAACATATTTGATAACTCTTCTCTAAGTCTTGCCTCTTATCATTGATTTACTGTGTTTTATTATATCAAAATCTTAGTTTTTTATAGCAAAATTTGTCAAAGTTTTCTTATAGAATACAAAAAATCAATAATCCACCTTTTGTGACTTTTCTGAAATACTATGCCAGCTGTTTTATATTTTACATGTGTGAAACTGCTTATTGCATGTCTTCACAACTGCCTTCTCAGATTATGTGCTTACTAAACTGCTGTTGAGGAGCCTTGGTGGCACAGTGGTTAAGCACTTTTTTGCTAAAGTTGGTGATTGGAACCCACCAGCCACTTTACAGGAGAAAGATATGGCAGTCTGCTTCTGCAAAGATTACAGTTTTGGTAATCTTATGGGACAGTTCTACTCAGTCCTGTGTTGTTGTTAAATGTGGCCAAGTCGATTCTAACTCATACCAACAAAGGAGTGGCTGGTAAGTTTGAACCACTGACTTTGAGGTTGACTGTTTATCCTATAGCACCACACCAGGTTGTGAAAAGTCAGAATCAGCTTGATGGGCAAAGAAGGAAAACTGCTGTTATTCCTCAGGATGAAAACAATGTTCATTTGCACAGTAAGATCAGCAATACCAGCTTGACTAATAATTCGAGGAAGATAGTGGAGTGAGAAGTGGCGAATACCATAGTATATTCAAAATGAAATGAAATAGATGTCTCTTACAGGGATTACTGACTGTTCCCTCAGACTTCCCTTCGTCTAGAATAAGAGAACCCTTGATTTGTTGCTAAGCAGTAATGACTATAAAGGTTGATCCCTAAGAAGCTGATGATGCGGTGGGTCAAAAAGTCAAATATCAGCAAGTCTATGGTTTAACTTCTTACATTTTCCAACCTCCTCAGCAGTCAGGTATGGGCATGTGACTAAGTTCTGACCAATATATGTGAGTAACAGTGACGTGAGCAACTTTCAGGTCATGCTCTTAATGATGGGTGTCCCTTTGCACCTTCCTCCTTTCATGGTTGGAATGTCTAGCCATCTTGCATAATGCAGACAAGCACAACATCCTTAAGATGGCAGAGGCACAAAACAGGAAGTTTTAGTCCCTGATGGCTTCATAGAGCAGAACTACCCTCACAGTTTGAGTTTAAACACTAGGAAAAACCATAGTTCTTTTTAAGCCTCTGTGATTTTAGGTCTCAGTCATAACCGACTAAATCTAAACCCTAAATCAGTGGTTCTCAAAATATAATCTGTGGATCCCTCAGAATTGTAAGACCCTTCCGGCAGGTCTGTGAGGTCAAAGCTATTTTTATAACAATACAAAGATGTTATTTACCCTTTTTCATCATGTTGATGTTTGCATTGATGTTGCAAGAGCAATAATAAATAAAGATGCTGACATTTTAGCATGCA